GACCCTGGCCTGCTCTCGTTGGTCCCGCTGTTGTGTGGGGTGCGAGGGGAGGGGTGCTTCATCATCTCATGAACCGCAAGACGCAGTGCGGTGGCGAGTGAGTGTTGATGGTGGTTGTCGGTGTTGACCGCTCCTGCTTGTTGTTGTTGTTGTTGTTGTTGTTGTTGTTGTTGTTGTTGTTGTTGTTGTTGTTGTTGTTGTTGTTGTTGTTGGCACACAAGTAAACACTGCGTGCTCAGTATTCGTCCTTGCCAACGACGGACGACTGCGACGCTTTCGAATGACAGGGGCCACCTGGGGCGCTGAGGAGTGGGAGCCGAGCCGAGCTCGGCCGGGTCGGGGTGCTTCCTTCTTCAAGGGAGAGCATTTCCCTCATTGTTTGCCTTCGTAGAATTTACCAACAGTCACACAGACGCATTCTAGTAAAGAGTCTTAGTATGCCTACCTAGCAGTTGTGCCGTGAAGCGGAACAAGGGGATAAGTCAACTTATCCCCATGATCTCCTATGATCTCTGACGTCGATCTGGTACATTGCAAGTGCCCCAAATGACATTGGGACGTTAGTTTAAGGTGCAGCTTGACACCTCGGGGTGACCTCAGAAACTTATTTTACACCAGACGGCAGAGACAGATGAGAAAGGGGTCATGGTGGTGAAGACGATATTTTCCCTGCTTCCGCTTTACGGTGGAGTGGTAGAGTTGTTGTGTGAGGCTATGGAATTATTTTTAAATGCTATATCGAACATACCAAAGGACTGCGCTAGTTAACTTATAGGTTGACTGGATGACAGCGCAACTCGCAGTTACCGACACAGTTACATGACACTTACGTCATCAGCCTTCCTCCCTTTTTTTCCTGGCTTGCCCGTACTACCACCTTCCCCTCATTTTACGTTGTTGGTAAACATTCAAAGAAAATGAGAGAAACACCGAAATAAGCGAGCATGATGATGAAGAAGGCTCTCTCTGTGGTCTGTGTTTACTCGATGGGAAAGGCCGGCCGGCCGGCTAGCCGAGGCGCGCGCCAAGTGTGTCGTGCCTCTGGTGGCCTCTCACCCCATCCCCCACCCGTTTTTCACTAAATCGCAAACAGCAAAATAACAACAACGAAGTCCGAACTGTCACGAGTGCCAAGCAACACGACACATCCGCCGTGTTGGCGATTCCTACATATGAATGTATTCT